CTAAATTTAGATAGTATAAATTAGTACCCTAAAATTAGATAATATAAATTAGTACCCTAAAATTATAAATATAATTTTTGAATATTATAGTATCATATTTTGTATGAGCAAGATTTTGAATGAATGACGAATAACGAATGAATAAACTAGCCAATGAACCAACAAACTGTCAAACAAAACCAATAATAGTATGTTGAACGAAATATAATTTTTGCTAGTGAAAACTTGGGTATGTATAAGATCTAATATTAACGTTCTAGGTATGTATTCTCTTTTCTTTTCTGCTACTGACTTGTCTTTCGCAGATCTTTCTAACTTCTCGCCTTTACTTTTTGCTAGATTGCTTTTTGAGGGTTTTCTAGTGCTTCGGGCTTTTGGGTAAGTACTGTCTTTCTATTTTCTGTTTCTTTTAGTATTTTATTTCTAGACTCTAACATCCCTTTCCTAATATCGACCTTTGATTCCTAAGGTAAATCTGTTTTCCTAGATCTTATGAATCTTTCATAGATTTCAAAACTAAGTGTTTGCCCTTTTTTTCATGGATTACATACAAGTTTTTAGTCCTATCCATATTACTAAAACTTTATTTTTTTTATAGACTGTGATGTTCGCAGTTTTTCTTTTTTTGAATAACGTTAGAGGATTTAGAAAAGAATGTGATCCAGGGGACTAGTCAGACGTTAAGTGCCAGTTCTTTTCATTTAGTCTTGACCTTATTCTTATTCTTGCCTTGCTTCTTTGAGGGACTAGTCAGACGTTAAGTGCCAGTTTTTTTTGTTTAGTTTTGACCTTATTCTTATTCTTGCCTTGCTTCTTTGAGTCTGGGAAATCAGCACTAGACTTGGAGTTAGGTTGGGTACGACATGATAAGTATTTGTTGTGTTGCTTTTACTTGTATTCATTAGTATAGTTACTAATGTCATTTTTTATTCGTATATAGCAATGATTTCAGAATGGAACGTGAACTAAGACATTAAGGTAAGCATTATCTTATTCGTTTTTATTCTCCATTGAATTTTTATTTTTTGGTAGGTTTCTACAACGCAGTGTTGGTCAAGACTTTCAGCAGGTGGAATTAGAGCATGAGACACAGGGTAAGTATTTTGTTTAATTTGTTCCATTTTTTGGCTAGTATTAATACATTCTTTTTTCATTTCGATAATATATATACTTTCGTTCTTGACATTAACTGGAACCTGAAATACAAAACGAGCATAATATAACAGATAAGTATTCTTGTTTTACAGTTTTGTAAGGTCATATTTTCATCACTATAGTATAACGATATATTAATAGGTTATAAATTCTAGTCTATCGAAAAGTATCTAAGATCGATTATTTACTATAGGGCTGTTAAAAGTCTGATCCCATCAGTCCAGTTTCATAAATAGGGACTTTTATCAGGACATTGCTTGGATAATATCATGGTTTAGCTGTAATATATTTTTTTTCATGCTTAATTGGTTCTTGAGCTAAGTTTGTGCATATGAGTGCCAGCAAGGGAAAACCTCGAATCAGCAATTATAGTTTATTGTTCAATGAACTTTAAACGAAGATATCTCAATAACTAGCCAAGTAAATATAAATTTGATGAATTTTTTTGATTCTAGAGATCTCTAGAACTAAAACAAAAGAATTTACTTGGCTAGCTACTGAGATATCTTCGTTTAAAGTCTGCTATATAATAAACTATAATTACCGGTTCAAGGTTTTTTCTTGCCGGCATTCATATTTTTTTTTTATGTATAAATCAATTAGTAAATCAATTTAAATCTACCTGGCCTAAACGATTTACCAATCAGGAAATGGAACAAACGACATGCAGAGACAGATATTCCTACATTTGAACTTTGTCCGAAATAAGGGCACTTTCAAGCATAAAATATGGACTTTTTTCCATTGTTTTACCATTGTTATAGAATGTCTCATAGATCATTCATGAGGGTTTCAAGGTCTGTTTCATAAATTGTCATGTTGCAAAGATAATTATCATGTACGTACTTATTCATAAATTTTGACCGTAAGGACCAATCAATTATTATTTTTTTCGCTAGGTTTCTTTTTTGGGTTATTGCAATTGTCCTCCATGCATCATGAGACAAACCATGAGCTATTCATAAGATGCTCCACTAACAATAGTCAGACAATGGATAACTACTCAGAGGAAGGATCGAATTTTCTACTTTAAACTCAGAGTCGATCCTATTTGAAGTCGACTCAAGGACCAGGTTAGATAAGCTTTTAGGACTATGAGCATTAGGCAATAGTTTTATTTTTATTATTATTACCGCTATGTAAATATTTTAATTTATTGTAAAAAAAAAAGTTGCGATATATAAATATACCGCAAAATTTAAGTGCTATGCAAGTGTTACGCTGGAATATAGATCTAGATTTATCCTTAAGCAAGGGACATAGAATTTATTTGGTAATAAATAATTTGCATTAAAGACAAATTCGTTTACACTCTAACTTGCGATTAAGAACACTACTTAGGGTGTTCTCAAGTAACATACTCTATGAATTAGCAATTGATCGTAATGGAGCATAACTGTTATAGTAAAATTTAATAAATCTTTATGATTAACTTGTGATTGTGTCTATGTATTATACGAATAATATGTATTAACTTTACATATACCGTAAATAATTATATACTGTATTATAAATACTATATAAGCTTATTTAAATATATTAATATTGTATCGTACTGTAATTAATATTTAAATCGCTATCATCGCTATCGCTATATACAATTTTATCGTAATAATTTTTTTTTTTTGATAATTTTATATCGTTTATAAATCTAATTATAAATCCCATTTATCATTCATTTCAAACATTCGATTTACTAAATCTTCTGTATTATAATCCATATTTCTAAGACAATTGTTGTTTCCTACAAGATTACTGTTTGTTGCCGTATTAACTTGCAATTTGACCAGAGCAAAATAACAGAAACTCCAAGACTTTAGACAATAATAGCAGATATACTACGAGAACCAATATTACTACTAGTTGTATAATACTCCCAAAAATTTTCTATTGGTCGACCAACATTTTACGTTTACAATTAATATGTTGACCTTGCTGTTCTGTATTTATTGACATGAATATGTGTCAGCTTGTGATGATATATAGTAAATTCGATTCTTCATGTACATTAATTTTTCTTTGACAATTGTCGAAAAATTGATATACATAAAATCATTTCTCAAATTTAATTATCGATATATTGCAACTTTAGCAATTATCCATAAAATTTTTTTGCACTGAAAAGATTTCGTTTATTAAATTAATTTTATTATTACTATCTTTTTATCGTTACTATTAGAAAATTCTTATTACAGATTTGTAATAAAAACAAGACAAAAAAACCCCCGAGTAAACAATTCTAATTTCTATTTCGCCTTTTTCGGACTTCACAAACTTGCATATGTTGCTTCAACAAAATTATCCAAGAAATTTCAGCTTCTTGCCTTTTTATTTGTAGCAGAAGTTTTTAGCATAATCATAGGCAATAATGTAATAATTCATCTGTGTTGAAAATCTATAATTATAACGCTATGTTAAAAGATAAAAGTAGTTGAACAACTATTATGTATACATTATTGGGCAAAAAATTTTGAATAATGGTAATTTTGTTCAACTGGGCAAATGAACATATGCTGCGAAGCAGCACGTGTCAGCCAATCATTTGCCCGGTTGAGCCAAATTACCATTATTCTAAAATTTGCCGAATAATAGTGTTATCTGACAATTTAAATGTGAATATTTCGTAACACATGAAAAAAATAATATAAGAGTTTGTCGGATAACGTCCATCAATGAAAATGTGAATATTTCGTAACATATAAAAAAAATAATATAAGAGTTTGTCGGATAACGTCCATCAATGAAAATTTTAGCCAATCAACGCAACTATATGAATTATCATTATCTCTTGTTAATTAGAACGATAGTTATTTGTAGGGATGTTAATCGGTCTTTTGGGACCGAATCCTAACCGGTCCTTACAAGGACCTGCAGGATTGGTAAGGACTCGGTCCTTAAATCACATGAAAACACAATACATTTTATAGGACTTGGATCCTGAATTGAATTATTATAACAATACAAAATTAATTTGATTGGATGGACTTATTCGATAGATTCAATTTAGGATCTGATACAGGATCTAAGTCCTATAAAATGTATTGTATTTTCATGTGATTTAAAGGATCGAGTCCAGGACTGTCTTTTTAGATCCTAGGATCGGACCGGACTGGATTCGCAATTTAACATCCCTAGTTATTTGGATCATCTTCACTAGGGTTCGAGGCACAGGGGCACGGGCATGCCCTTGGAGGCATGCCTATAGGCATGCCATGCTAAAAAGCAAATAGGCTAGCTAGTCAGGAAAGTTTTTTGATATTGTATTATTAGGGCATGCCTATAGGCATACCGTAACTCAGGGCATGCCTCAATAGGCATGCCTAATTTTTTGACTGTGCCTCAAGCCCTAGTCTTCACTCATTGGAAATTTTCTATTCTGATATTGCTGTATTGACTAAAGTGCTTAATTTAATTTAATGTATTTTACATGTGATAAAATAAATTATTGTGTTCCTGCTAAGACAAATATTTGTTCCCGTGTAAATCAAGGGTTGCTAGTGTTACTATATAATTATAAATTTAATACGTTTGATGTCATTTCATATCATACAGTATCATGAATTTAATTGAAAGTGAACTTTCTTTAGAGATTAGTCAAAAAGAATATACAAATGAAACAAATACTTATCCGCAAAATTCTATCATTAAATACAAAGGTTTTGGTCGGAGTTTGATATATAGAATTATTTCTGAAGGACAATATCCTTCAGATAACAAGCTTGCTTATACCAAAAAACCAGGTCAATATAAAATACCAAATAATTATAAAGTTGAAACTACTTACGGTAAACAAATACAAAAAACTATTCTTTGCTCAATCAAATATCATGGTCAAAAACCTGTATTTCATATAAAGTATGGAGAAAATTTAGCTGAACAAGTTGAATCTGATAAAAGTGCAACTACGGCAGCAAATGCATATCAAGCTGTAAGTGCATATCGGCTGATTTGTCAAATTTGATAAATAGAAAAACCAATCTGTTATAGCTCTGGTCAAATTTACAGATTACTTAACCAAGTTTGACTTTAAATCTGGTGAAATAATCTGCAAATTTGACTAGAGCTATGACAGATTAGTTTTTCTATTTATCAAATTCTACAAATCGGCCAATATGCTTTCATTACGCACATATATTGATATACATTATATATTAATATATCAATTAATATATTTTTTTAATAGGCAATAGAAAAAAAAAATAAAAAAAATCAAGAATCTGATAAATTACCATTAGCAGAATTAAATTCGGATCAAAAAATAGTTAATAATAAAGGAACAAAGTGGAATGGAGCTCTTTTATTTGGATTACAATTACAACAAATAAAAGAAGTTCGTGAGGCCCGTCAGATTGCAAGAGGAATTAAACCATATTCATTATTAAGTAATTCTGGACAGAAAAACCGTAGTAAAAAAGGAGCTTCATCTTTTCAAAATTCTTTTAATGAAACTACTAAAACAGTATTTCATTCAGATGATCATGTAGTTTTACATGAAATGGCTTTTTCAATTAATAGTAATTATTATAGATTTGTTTATAAAAACAATAATGACTTAGATAATAGTAAAAATTTTCGTCTTCAAGCCGTTGTACATGCTATGGATCATGAAAAATTTTCACGAAATGCTTATAGAGAACTTGCTAGAATATGTCATGATCTTCCTCGTGAGTGGGCTGTATCTAGTATGAAACAAAAAATTACAAATGAAATTAACAATCATATAAAAACAACACTTTTTAATCTTAATAATTTAGAACCTAAAATTTTAGATAACGAAAATAATGAGGAGCATATTACTGATTATGAAATTATAGAAACAGTTACAAATTCAATTGGAAAAGGCGCATATCGTTCAATTAAAGATATTTTAAGGTATATGATTCCGATTTGGCTTCAAAAAAAAATTTTAAATTTAGAATCACCTACTATATATATACGTATTTCTGGAGATGGACGCAATGTAGGACGAAAAGTCAATCATGTTATGTTCACATTTTGTGTTTTAAACGATTTAAATAATGTTTTTAAACCTGAAAATCATCATACTTTAGTTATTTACCCTGGAATTGAAAAGTATGAAATTTTAGAAACAGCATTAGTATTATTAATCAAAGATCTTGAGGAAATAAGAAATGAATTTTATGATAATGAAGGTAGAAAATGGGCAATTAAATTGTATTTTTCAGCAGACTGGAAAATGCTTGCTTTGTGTCTTGGTCATAAAGCAGCAAATTCCGACTATTTTTGTCTTTGGTGTGACTGTTGCAAAAAGCTAAACGGAGATTTTGAATACGATTGGACTATAAACAAAAATATAAATAATATTACTCAAAATTTTTCTAAAACGAATGGTCATGCAAAAAAACCTCTTTTTTCAATGATTGAAATCGATCATTGGATAGTAGATGAGCTTCATTTATTATTACGAATTACAGATCGATTATGGAACTTGGTTATAGCTGAGCTCAAAACAACTAAGCAATTTGATTCTAAGCGAAAAATTATTATAGATGAAATGAAGCGAATTAATGTTAAATTTGAATTTTGGCAAGATATATCAAATAATTGGAATTCGACATCATTAATGGGGGATGATAAGCTTAAGGTGCTTCGCAATTTTAATATTTCAGAAATTTTTCCAAAAGATCGGGCGCAAATAATTCAACAACTATGGGATAGTTTTGCACAATTGTATGACACACTAAAAGATTCTCAGATTACTGGTGCTGAGTTTAAACAAAAAGCTATTAACTGGTTAAAACTATTTTTAACTAAATCTACAGGAAGTTTTAACTCATCAACTTTTATTAAAGGCTTATATCGTCCCAATGACATAACTCCTTATATTCATGTGATGGTTTATCATGTGGGGGAATTTATAGACTTGCATCGAAAATTTGGAATGGTTGGATTTTCTTGTTCTGCCGTAGAAAAGAAAAACCACCAACAAGTATCATATTTTTTTCGGAAAACTTTGAAGGATGGAGGATCGGAAGGAGTTAAAAAGTCAGCAATTTTGGAAATATTGGATCATGATAACAGAAATCTTTATTTCTATAAAAATAATGTGCCGATTTATTTTGAAAAAGAGACCAGGCTAACTATTAAATGATAGAAATGTATAAGGCATACACATTTTAAATTCATTAAAGGTAAGTGACCATATATTATTTAATATAATTTATAGTTGATAATTATAACTTTTAATACTTGTTTATATAGCTATTTCTAACAAGAAAATCATATTGCGCGGATAATCATATCATTTACAAAGTTAGATATCAAACATATACAGTAATAGAAAATTATGCAAGTGCTTTGTTGAATTTTATTTCTAGTATAATAAGAATTGTCTTTATACGGCTTAATAAATTTTTTAGATTTATAATCTATATGAAAACAATTCTGTGATAGTATTTGTGAATTCATTTATTATATTTATTTATTATTTTAATGTAGAAGGCTATTCTAGTTTGGGTGATAAAATAATTAATATTTGGACTAATGCTTTACTAGCTTATTAACTAATTTCGAGACACGATATCTGATATACAGTAAGTGAGTATTTACTTATTTGTTATTTTTTTACAACATAAATTATTTTACATTTATTTTTTGCTAGGTACTCCATTAATTTAAATGCTATAGTTTCGCTTCTTTCTACAATACAAAATAAGCCCATAGTAATGTTTATCTTGTAATAATCATTGATATGCTGCTTAGTAGTTTGTTAACAAAAACAGATTCTATATATATATTATTTAGACTCTTCTTTATTTACCTTTAGAAGTAATACATTCGAAAAAATATGATACGATTGCTACTTTTAACTAAAAATAGAATGTACTCACAGCTATAATTATATAAATAAACTGAGATATTCTACTTAAATCGTTAATAATAAAATTTATAAACTTCATATACTGTCTTATAGGTTATGAAGTCTCGACATTATCTTATAAGTTATATCTACCTTTCTGAATCATTTGCTATTTACCAAAATTATATTCAAAAATAATATAACTGCTAATGTAAACCCAATTCTATAATCACCCAAACTATTTAACCCACTACGTATAACTGAATCGCTGTGGATCATTTCTATAAAAGCTCATAATTGGCCTTGAAGCGTCTTACTTATTGGTTTGTACTGAAACAGAAATGATTTTCGTACATGCAGTTACTATTGTAAATTGGGAGAGCGATTAACGTTTAGCTCCAATAGTTAACATAGTATGGGTTATAATGTCTGATTACTAATAAATAGGAAATAATAATGATAAACTATATATATGGATCGTGTATTATATAAAGGTCGAATTGGTGACTTAAGGGATGATCGGAATAATTTAATAACTAATACAAGGGGCGATGTTACTCTTAATTGTAGTGATTTGAACTGAGAAAAAATTCCTTAGTCGGGTAACCGAACCGAAATATTTAATGTCAACCGATTGCAACCGATTAAGATTACTTCCACTTTTACCTTCGGAAGTTCTCGGACCTTTACTCGAAATTTTATGTTCATTCATTTTCTTTTCGGAAGTTCTCG